GGCTACCACTGTCAACCACTCAGAGGGGATCTGTGTAGGAGCTCCTGGATAGAGTGGGAGAACAATGTGGAACAAAACTCATTTACCTGAGGTAGATATATTCCTTGGAAAGAACAATCATGGGAGAAAGAAGGACTGTCTATGCACAGGGAGACAGGTCAGGGGTCAGGAGTACATGAAGGGATGGACACAGGGAAGAGGTAACTATCTGGAGGAAGTGGGAGGGGAGCTGTTGCATTGGGGTAAATTGTAGAAAATGTCACGAGACAAAGGGTATGTAACTGCTGTATAGGAAGTGAATTTGCTCTGTCAACTTTCACCCAAATCACAATTAAAAAAAAAAAAAAAGAAGAAGAATGCAAGAAAGAGAGCATGCCAGGAGGAGGGGGTGAATCAGGTTAGGTGAGAGCCCAGGTGGCCTGGGCGACGCAGCAGCAGATGATCTGGTGGCGCAAAGATGAGGATGAGGTCAGCTTGTGATAGGTCCAGCGAGGACAGGCGGAAGGGGGCTGAGGAGAGCAGAAGCAGTACTTTCAAGGCACTTTGCTTGAAGGGGAGCAGAGAAAAAAACGGGCCATACCCACAAGAGCTTGTGAGGTCAAGAGGGCCTTTGGTTTTGTTTTTATGGGAGAAACAACATTGAGGACAATGAGCTAGTAAAGAGGGGAAAGGAGACTGAGGATTGCTTGCAGCTCCAAGCCGGCGAGACCAGGGCCTACCTGGAGGGCCAGCCTTACTGGGAGCCGTGGTCCATCCCTCACAGGCAGAAGGCAGGCAGTCGGCTGAGGGAAGGAGGTGGAGTGTACAGAGGAAGATGTGGGCGTGGGTGAGGAAACAGACCAGGGAGCCCGAGGGGTCATGGCCAGCCCAGGGCCCACTGGAGACTGGTGGTCTTTGTTTTGGTTACTTCGTGCTGCTCTAACAGAAAATACCACAAATGGGTGACTTGAGTTTATTCTCTTACAGTTTTGGAGGCTAGAAGTCCAAGTTCAATGTGCCAAGCTCCAGGAGCTGGGTGAAGGCCCCTGCAAAAAGGGCAAGGAGGCCACATGTTCTGACTTCCTCTGATCCCACAAGAGGAAGGCAGAATCACCATCAGTAGCCCAAGGCCTATTACTGCGAGGCCAGACATGCTGCCTCCCTCTAGCCCTTTCTCCAACCGTTCCTCCCAGAGCACCCACCACCTCTCTTCTGGGTTCGATAATTCGCTCAGTGGCCACACAGAACTCACAGATTATGAGGTTCATTAGGGAAGCACCAGGTTACAATTCAAGTTCAGGAAAAACGCTCAGTCTCCCTCCCAGCTCACCGTCTCTCACAATCTCTCCCCCAGCAATGCACGTCTCTTGCATCTCTTTCCCAGCAGCACGTGTCTCTTTCAGCAGCACGTCTTCCTCAAGCAGCAGTCAGAGAGAGTTCTGCCTCTAGGAGGCCTCCTTTTGAGCCCAGCAGTGGCCAAACTAGCCAATCATAGCATCAGAACTCTAAGCACCTGAGAGAGTGGGCACCTCCCAGAACATTGTTTTGTGCCACTCCCAACAGAAATACTCCAGGTGGACAACTTTAGCAATCAGGAGCTCCTCAGTTGCTTATAGGAAATCCCACCTTGGAGTTTACAAAGACTTATGGATAGAAAAGCCACACTAAGTAATTTACTACACCGCAGCCCCTTAACCTTGGGCTTCAGCTCTGCCCCTTGCTCTTGGCCCACTGGAGCTGGAGGTGTCTCTTCACTCAGGCAGCTGCTGGCTGCTGAGGCTGACAAACCCAAGGTCGACAAATAAAATGCCACAATCCCAATATTACCGAACCACACGGCAGGACACTGGTTCAAATCCACTAAGAGTCCCAAGATTGGCAGACAACATGGCAGGTTGCTATATAGTGATTTGGCTACATGCAGGGTTCAAGTGTGCCAACAGCTACAGTTCATTCCTAAAGCTTTCTCTTATATACTGGGAGCAGACCACATCCCTAGCGTAGCTACTCAGCTGCTCACAGTAGATTCTACCATGGCATTGATTGCCAGTCTCATCATGGAATCACTACATCCAGCTGCTTAGCCACTCAAAACCAGGCCCAGCCAAGTTGACACATGACCTTACCTACCACAGTCAGGGGGTGGTTGCAGCTTTCTAGCATGTTCCACTATGCAGGACAGGCACGGAATCGGGGGGGGGGGGGGGAGCTAGTCCCAGCAGGGTCTGGGAGCCAGGGGAGGCCTCTGGGGAGATAGCCCCTAAACTGAGAAGGGCAGAGGGATGGCAACAACAGATGTCCTGAGGTGGGAGTCCGAGAAGGCAGGCTGATGGGGCTCGACTGTGGTGAGTGGTGGCAGGGAGGCCTGAGATATGGGGTCTGAGGCATCAAGAGAAGCCAGATGGGCAAGGTGTTCCAGCACCAGCAGCAAACATTTCGAATTTTTTCTAAATGAGATGAGATGCCTTTGGAAGGTTTAAGTAAGGAGGAATTAACCCAGTTTAGTTCAACTGGTGCTGGGCTGGGGGTGTATAGCTGAGGGGTGGGATGTGCATAAGCGAGGTTGTGAGGGAGGTCAATTCCATCTTAACTACATGAAGACTTAGCGCCAGCACATAGCATGGTGGTTAAGGGTGTAGAACCTGAAGCCGCACTGCCGGGGTTCAAATCCTGAGCCTATCACCTTGGGCAAGTCACTTTACTGCTCTGTGCTTCAGTTTCCCCATTCTGTAAAATGGGGCCAATAAGAGCAAGCCTGTTGTGAGGCTTAATTGTGTCAGCATGTATCGACTATCTGGGGACTTGTCAGTCGGGCTGGGCTACAGTCACAGGAGCAAGAGAGGGAGATGACCCCTGACCCCGCTCCGGGCACAACTGGAAGGCCCCCAAGCGCCCCTGAGCTGGTCTTCCTCTCTCTGCAGGCCTGGGCATGTGCTTCTGCTTCCAGTCCAGCGTCACAGTCTTGGGCTTCTACTTCACCCGCTGGCGGGCGCTGGCTAACGCCCTGTCCTCGGCGGGCGTCTCCCTGGGCATCACCCTCTGGCCACTGCTCTCCCGCTACCTCCTGGAGGAACTGGGCTGGAGGGGCACCTTCTTTGTCTTTGGTGGGGTCCTTCTCCACTGCTGCGTCTGCGGGGCCATCCTGAGGCCGGTGGCCACCACTGTGGCCCCTAAGACTAGAGAAGGCCCCCCTCCACCAGCCAAGACACCTGCCCCCAGCGGCCTGACAGCATGTGGCCAGACCATCCAGCGCCACCTGGCCTTTGACATCCTGCTGCACAACCCGGGCTACCGCGTGTTCACGCTGGGGGTCATGTGGATGATCTTGGGCTTCCCGATTATCCACGTCTTCCTGGTGCCATATGCCGTGCGGTACGGGGTTGACAAGCACCGGGCCGCCCTGCTCATCTCCATCATTGGCTTCAGCAACATCTTTCTGCGACCCGTGGCCGGGCTGGTGGCGGGCCAGCGCTACTTTGCCAGCCACCGCAAGTACCTGTTCGTCCTGGCTGTCCTCCTCAACGGGCTCACCAACCTGGTGTGCACAGCCTCAGCTGAGTTCCGAGTGCTGGTGGTCTACTGCCTGGTGTACAGCGTGTCCATGAGTGGCATAGGTGCCCTTATGTTCCAGGTGCTTATGGACATCGTCCCCATGGACCGCTTCTCCAGCGCCCTGGGCCTCTTCACGGTCCTGGAGGGCATCTCCATCCTCATCTCCCCGCCAATGGCTGGTGAGACCCCAGGAGGGCAGGAGGGTGGCCAGGTGTGCCCAGGTACAGCCTGGAAGGGCAGGGGATGGAGAGGCCCCAGTCTGCCCAGATTTGGGCTCAGCCCAGCAATTTCAGGGATTGGGGCTTGGAATCTGCTTGTCCCAAGCACCCAAGGGAACAATGCTACAGGCTGTTCCCCAGCTGGCATTGGGGCTCCTGGATCAAACCTACCTGAGTCCTTCCCCTCCTCTGTATCTGTTTTTTTATCAGTCAAGGGGGGATAACACACTCTCCCCCGCAGACTCTTTGTGAGGATTAGGAGTTACAGACATAAAGAGTTTAGCAGGGAGCATGACACAAAATAAGCACCCACCAGGTGTGTGTTTGCTGTTGTTGACCTCCTGGTCCTCTGGCTTCCTGCCTGCAAGTCATCTTCCCTCTCTGAGCTACAGTGACATTGGCAAAATGCAAAAAATAATGCCCACCACTAGCCTTTTATTTACCCGTGCCAGTGCCTGGGGTGTGCATGGCTGAGCACAGACCTGGTCAGGTTCACCTTCAGGAATGAAAGGAAAGAGAGCTGTCTGAGCTGAGAGGCAAACAGAACATGAAGGAGACCTACAGGAAAAGGCCTGCGGGGGCCTTACAGAGTAAATAAGGAGAGGTTCTCGGTTGGTAGGTTGCTGTCAACAGACACAACTAACCCAAACCCACTGCCATGGAATCGATTCCAACTCACAGCGCCCCTAGTAGACAGAGTAGAACTGCCCCATCGGGTTTCCAAGGCATCTTTACGGAAGCAGATTGCCTCATCTTTCCCCCACAGAGCAGCTGGTGGGTTTGAACTGCCAACCTTTTGGTTAGCAGCCAGATGCTTCAGCCACTGTGCCACCAGAGCTCCTTAACAGACAACACAAGTGGTGGTCATTACACTAAGACCCTGAGGTAGACTCCTGCAGTGTGGAATTTTCCCCTCATTGCAGCCTTGGAGGCCTTAGCTTCCAAGAGAGTTCTCCAGGCCAGTCTAGAGAGCTTCCCAGGAGGAAGTGGCCCCTGGGAGGTGGCTGAGTAAACAGTCTGGACTCCACTTGCCTGGCTCCTTGGCTGCCTGCCACCAAGGGTAAAGGAGTCATGCTTTCATGTTGCCTTCCAGCCAAAATCTTTTTAAGAACTCTCCCTGCGCAGGCTGGTTTAATTTCCTCTTGTCCTTTCATTCAACTAATACTTATCAAGCCACCTACTTGGTACCAGCACTAAACAAACAAACAAACAAAACTGATTGCAGTGGAGTGGGATCCACTTATAAAGACCCCTCCTTGGGTTTCTCAGGCGGTATCACTACCACTACTGAAGTAGATTGCCCAATCTTCCTTCCGAGGAGTGGCTGGTGGGTTTGAACTGCCAGCCTTCTGGTTAGCAGTCAATGCCTTAGGCACTACAGCACCAGAACTCCTGGTACCAGCACTGGGGATACAAAAATAAAATCCCGCTCTCACGGAGGGTGTACTTTAGCCGGGGGGCTGGGTAGCCCTGGGCAGTGGCCTGACTTGACTGTGCTCTGCTCCCCAGGGTTCCTTCTGGATGCCACCAACAACTTCAGCTTCATTTTCTACATGTCAAGTTTCTTCCTCATTTCAGCCGCCCTCTTCATGGGTGGCAGCTTCTGGGCCCTACAGAAGAAGGAGGGGCAAGGCAGGCCAGCTGAGGCGGAAGGAGCCGTCCCAGAGGCTGCTGCAGATCGGGACCTTACCCTGGAGGGCACAGACGGGTCTAAGAAGCAGCTGTGCCCTGAGATCATGTATGTGACCAGCGTCTGAACCCTGGAATCATATGTGTGACTGGCATCTGAGTGCCCGGGTCACGAGTGTGACCAGCACTTGAGCCCTGGGATCATGAGCGCCCACTGTCTCAGCCCAGGAATGGTGCCTCCTGTTGCTTCGCCAGGGGCTGCGTGAAGGGCTGCCCAGGAAGCCAGGACCAAAGGCTGTCGAGGCTCTGCGAGCAGGACTGTGCCAGGACCTGGGATCATGGAGGCTGGCCTCCGAAGACTCAGAGCTCCTTCCGTCCAGCCGAATCCAGGAGCAGATCCTACTGGCTTCTTCTTTGGGGACCACCACCTTGGGGCCCAGGAAAGGGGGTCTGAGCCCAGTGTGGGTCTGTCATGGCTGACTCGGCTCAGCCGGCTGCTGTCGCGGTTTAACACACTAGACCTTCAAGTCCAGCTGGATGCCTCCAATGTAATCCTTCTTTGTCCTCCGGACTCCAGACCGTTCCAAAGCACTCATGCTTCCTCAAGGGCCATCCTGTTCTCTCTCTTCCCAAGTTGCCAGCCCTTGTCCTTGGAGCAGCTAAGGCCCAAACCCAGGCTGCTCAGCTCCACCCTGGCTGGGCCCCGGGAGGAAGGAGTTGTAGCCTGCAGTGGGGGAAGGCCAGGCCGAGAAGTTGTCCTGCATGTGGGATTTGGACAGATTAAGTGCTGGGGGGAATGCCCTTCCTGGCAACTGGGCAGTGAACTGAAGGGGAGTCCCTGGCTGGGGTCCTAGAATCAGTGACCAGAGGGTTCACCCTGCACACTAGGCAGGGTCTATTCTAAGGTCTCCCTCCTGCCCCTACCCTACAGGCCGGGTCAGAAGAGTTAAGGCTGGGGAGGGGGACAGGCAGGTATTTGTTGATGAGAGAAATGCCAGGCTGGGCCTGAGGGCCTCTGTGAAAGCAGGGCTGCTTCTGTGACTGAGGGAGTCTCTGGCTGATGCAAATGGATAACAAGCTCGAATGCTAGCCAAAAGGTTGGAGGTGCAAGCTCACCCAGACGTGCCTCAGAAGAAAGATCTGGCAACCTACTGCCCAAAACTCAGTATAAAAAGGAATGGTTGCAACTGTTTAAAAAAAAAAATGGCTTAGTTGTGGTGACATCTGACTTCTTCTAACTTCACAAGGGGAAAAGAGAATCAAGATCAATAGCCCAGGGCTGATTCCTATGAGGCAGGGGTCAGACATGTCTCCTCACTCCAACCTTTTCACCAATTCTGCTATCACCTGTCCCTCCCACAGTATCCTCTACTTCTCTGCTGGGTTTGATAATTCGTTGTGACAGCCACACAAAACTCACAGACCACACTCACAGTTATGGGCTTTATTAGGGAAGTAAAAGGCTACAATTCAGGATCGGAAAGGACTTGGGACACAGTTCTTTGATCAAGAAAGCCTCTTTCATCTGTACTTTCTCTCTGGCCCTCGGCCCTCTGGCCCAGCCTGTCTTGCTCAGGCAAGTGTTACAGAGCTCTTGCGGTTCACTGATACGTGCCCTGAGGCTGCCCTCTCTGCAGTAAACCTTCACCTAAAGGCACCGAGCTCTCTTGCTTCACGGTCAGCTCACCTACTCAGTGGGCTGAGAAGCCATGGCACCATCTTGTACCAATCTCCTAGTTCTACTGCCACCATTTCTCTGCCACTGCTTCTCACTGTCTTATACCACCTCCAGTGTTACAGGTTACAGCTCTCCTGGGCTCCTGGGTCAAGGAGGTTCTCAGCACAGGGACCTCAGATCCAAAGGACACATGCCATTCCCATCTCTTCTTGATGGTACCGAGTTCCCACCTCTGGGATGGCTCATTTAAGCCTAGCAGGATGGCAAAATCGACCAATCCCCTCATTATGATTCCATTATACACTATTTGCATGGTTCCACCCCCCACAAAGGCATCCATGCACCTCACTTTCATTATTAGCAAGCTGCCCAATTCTCTTAGTGGACCCAAGCACCTCATCTGCATAGTCCCATCTGATCATTTTGTGGGAGTTACAAGACCATGGCAAGAAAGGGCTTATGAAAGTGATGCATCGCACAGCCATCAGCCATTGAGAGCCCTGTAGAGGCATTCCACTCTGACATAGGGGGGGTCACCAAGAGTCAAAATCAACTCCTCAGAAGTAACTGGTTTTCCATATCAGAATCCTTTCCACTCCCCTCCCTTGTCCTCCCTGCTGTCAGAGAGGATACTCTACGGTTAGTTGCTCACTGGGCCAGCTGCCAGCCAGTCACCCTGCTCCCTCTGGGCCTCTGCCGTGGCCTGGAGTTCAGAGCTCCTCACACACACTTTGCTGGTGATCTTCCAAGAGTTCACCATCCTGGTGACTGCCCGTCATCAACTCAGGCTTATCCCAGCAGGGGACCACCTGAGGGGAAGGTAAAAACAGAGTCCTTTGAATACACACAAGCACGCTTCCTGCGGCAGGTTATAAAGGCAGTGAGCTAAGGAAGCTGGAAAACAAACCTGGAGAAAGGCTCCCCTCCCCCTTCCCTTCTCCCATCTTGGCAGGGGCTGCCCAGGCGCAGGGCCTTGCGTTGTTGATTCAGGCTCGACCAAGTGAATCTGATCGGGCCAGGGAGAATCAATTTTATTTTCTTGACCTGACTCCAGCCTTCCTCAGCCGCAGGTCCAGCTGATGTGAGTAAGTATCCTTTGGGAAGTCCTCTCTCCTCCAAGACCCTGCCAGGAGTGCCCCCTTATGGCCAAATAATGTAACACAGAAACAAGGCCAGGGCACTGAGAACCAAAAAACTCACTGCCGCGGAGTAGATTCCGCCTCATAGCAACCCCCATTGGGTTTCTGAAGCTGTAAATCTTTATGGAAGTAGATCGCCCCATCTTCCTTCCATGAAGCAGCTGAGGGGTTTAAACCGCTGACCTGGTTAGCAGCCCAATGTCTTATCCTCTATGCCATGACAGCTTCTTGGAGCACTGAGAGGTGTTCTGAATTTAGTTTGCTAATACTCCAATTGGGAGCTCTGGTAGCATAGTACCTAAGGCACTTGACTGCTAACCAGAAGGCTGGCGGTTCAAACCCACCAGCCACTCCTCGGAAGGAAGGTTGGGCAATCTACTTCCATAATGAATGATACTGCCTCGGCAACCCAAGGAGGGGTTGATATGAGTCGGGGCTGACTCAACGGCACATAACAAAAATACTCCAATTTGGTGTGTGTCTTGGGGCAAATTGTTTTCCCATCTCTGGGCCTTAAAAACGAAGAAAGATTGTCTTGGATGAGCTAAGGTCTCTTCCTGTGAAACGTCTGACTATGTGGGAATGGGGCTGTGGTGGTTCAGTGGCAGCTCTCACCTTCCATGAAGGAGACGCAGCTTCAGTTCCAGGCCAGTGCACCTCACGCACACCCACCGCCTGTCTGTCAGCGGAGGCTTCCTTGTTGCTACATTGCTCAACAGGTTTCCGTGTAGCTTCCAGACTAAGAAGGCCTAGGAAGAAAGGCCTGGCAAGCTATTTCTGAAAATCGGCCCGTGCATCACGGTGATCCGATCTGCAGCTGATCACGGGGATTGTGCAGGACTAGGCCGCGCTTAGTTCCGTTATGCATGGGTCCTCATGAGTCAGGGCCCACCTGACAGCAGCTAACAATTAGGTAGGTGTCCCAGCTCCCCCCACTCCATGCTCACCCACCATCCCTACCTTGTACTTCCAGGGGGGAAATGCTTGGGGTCTGTCTCTTTCTCCATCTTGAGCACAAAAGGAGGGAGTTGGGGGCAGGCGGGTGCCCACCAGGCTTTGATGTGGTGTTCTTGTTATGTGCCATCCAGTCAAACCTGACTCACAGCAACCCCTCCTTGGGTTTCTGAGACAGGATCGCTATGGAAGTCGACTGCCCATTCTTGATGTGTTCTACATCCTCAAATAGCCCCATTTCCTAAAAACAGGTTTCATTTAAGGAAGAAAATAACTATAGTGACTCTTTAGCATTGGGAATTTTGACCTTGGCCTTGTCTGACCCCAGGCAAGGGTGACAGTGATCTCTGGGTAGAATTCCTTCAACAAATACTTGAGCATCGACTGTACAGCAGCAACTGGGCAAAAGCGGCAGAGTTCTTCTACTAGGAGGCCCCATGAGGCCTCAGGAGGGGATCAGACCAAACACAAAGGAGGGAGGAGGGAAACAGAGGGTCCATCAAGGTTCCAGAATCCACACTCGGCTGATTTCCTGGGAGTCCCCTAGAGAGAGTGGGGGGCAGTTCCTGAGCAGAGCTGAGCTCCCCTATTCTGCGCCAATCCCAGCCCTGAGCTCTGGCCCCCAGGCCTTTGCTGCTGCCCTGCCTAAGCAGAGGAAGCCCCAGGGTCCCCGGCTGGCTTTCGGCTGAGGTGCTCGTCCCCTGGCCCCATCAGCAGCTAGAGCACTTGTAAAGGCTCGCGTCTGAACCCCCGCCCAAGGGGGCTGCTGCGAGTGTGGCCCTCATTCCAAGGCCAGAAGGCTCACAGCCTCAGCCCCCTCCAGGCGATTTTCAAGCCCGACGGCAATGTGGCAGGGTCATCTCCTCTCTAGTGCTCCATCTCGGCACCCGCCAGATCTCTTGGCTACACCATCTTCCAGAGAAGTCGAAAAGAAATCCGACCAAAGGGCTTCAGCGCCCGGGTTCCACAACCCAGAAAGCTGTTGGAGCGGTTCACCTGAGTTAACCGATTCTACTTTTAGGGCACCCGGTGCTGCCCGGGAGTTGCTCGCCTGCCTGGCTGACAAAGCTCTTTAGGTAGACCACCCCCAACCGACCAACATTTCTGGTGGGATCTGGTGCACCCAGCTTGGGCTGGGAAGGAGGGGTGGGACTCGCTCAGCTTTTGAAAAGCTGACCCGACTGTAAGGTCAAAGGACCAATGTTGGGAGCGCAGAGCCGAGGCCTGCGCTCCTGTGAGACATGCCCTGCCACGGAAGTGTAGAGGTGGGTGTGGACCTGGTTCTGGTTCTACACGGCATGCGGGTAGTGCCAGCAGTATGGCGGGAAGCGCACGGCGCAGGAAGCTCGGGGGAGGTTCCGCCCCTAGCCCCGCCCCTTCCGGTATTCGGAAGCCGGGCTCGCGCGGCTTCCGCCCGGACCTAAAATAGTGTCCTTCGCACTTGCATTTCCGATTCGCTGCCGATTGCGTTTGTGACTTCGATTTCCAAACCCGGCCGTTATAGGATCCTGAGACCCCACACCCAATCCTAGCTGCAAAGCACTGTAGAACGTGAACCCAGCAAGAAGTCCATTTCCAGCCCCCGGGGCTTCCGCGACCTGGACCATGGCCCAGAAGCCAAAAGTGGACCCCCACGTCGGACGGTTGGCATACTTGCAGGCGCTGGTCACGGAATTCCAGGAGACCAAGAACCAAGGTGAGAACGGCGAGATGGAGGCCCAGGGGGTCGGGGGCCGGCCACGGCCGGGTCCTGGCTCCAGTGCCGCTCTCCCCTCGCAGACGCCAAGGAGCAAGTCTTGGCCAACCTTGCCAACTTCGCCTACGACCCCAGCAACTACCAGTATCTGCGGCAGCTGCAGGTCCTGGACTTATTTCTCGATTCGCTGTCGGAGGAGAACGAAACCCTGGTGGAGTTTGCCGTTGGTAAGGACGAGGACCATGCTCCTTGCACTGCCTAGGGGGCTGCGGGGAGTATGTAGTTGCAAGTGAGTTGTTGAGAAAGGAACCCTTAGGCGACTCCTCAGCTGTCAAGCGTGATGCCTTGAACAGACAGACCCTCTTTTAAATAACACTGAAAGGTCCATTCTACAAAATGGCCCACCTTTCCAGTTAGTCTGGTTGGCCTCTTCCTTGTGTCATTTAGCTTGTTTCTCTGTCCCCTTCATTTCTTGTAACCTAGAAATTTTACTGAGTCTTTTTATTATTTTTATTGAGAATACACACAGCAATATACGCACTAATTCAACTGTTTCTCCATGTACAATTCAATGAGTATCTGGTAGCATAGTGCCTAAGGCACTTGACTGCTAACCAGAAGCTGGCAGTTCAAATCCACCAGCCACTCCTCCGGAGAAAAGTTGGGCAATCTACTTCCGTAGTGATAGGTCTGGGTAACCCAAGGAAGGGTCGCTATGATTTGTGGCCAACTCAACGGCACGTTACAACAACACAATTCTTGGAGTCGTGTAACCATACTCACCCTTCTTTTCCGGATCATGCCTCCCCTATTAACAAAAATTTACTGCCCCCTAAGTTTCCTTTCTAATCCTTCAGGTGGCTATTGTCCATTTGATCCCATATAGATTGTTGTTGTTGTTGTTGTTGTTATGTGCCGTCGAGTCATCCCGACTCATAGCGACCCCTCCTTGGGTTTCCGAGGCAGTATCACTACGGAAGTAGGATTGCCCAACCTTCCTTCCGAGGAGTGGCTGGTGGGTTTGAACCGCCAGCCTTCTGGTTAGCAGTCAAGTGCTTTAGCCACTATGCTACCAGAGCTCCTCATATAGATAGATCTTAAAAAGAATAATGCTTAAGGCAGATCTTTACAAAGCTTTTTGGTTTACGTTTTAAAGGTGATGTCAGGGGGTAGTTTCAGGGATTCCTCTGCCCTGTAGGCTCCAGAAAGTGTGGAATCTGTGAGAACTTGAAAATCTGTTCTACATGTTCCCCCTTTTGATCAGGATTGTTCTGTGGAATCTTTGCTCAAAATGTTCAGTAATGGTATCCAGGCAACATCCAGTTCTTGATCTCATGGCAAAGGAAGCAGTTGTTCATGGAGATAGTTGGCCACACGTTCATTTCTTGCTCCTGTTCTTGACTCTCCTTCCTCTGTTGCTCCAGGTGAATAGAGACCAACTGTTGGGCCTTGAATGGCCACTCGCAAGCTTTTAAGACCCCAGGCACTGTGCAACAAACTACTTCCCATTAAGTTTAGTTTTAAAATAAAATTTGTCACCACAATGAGGTGTACTTCACGTCTATTGTTAGATGCCATCAAGTTGATTTAGCCTCACAGTGACCCTGTGTGACAGTAGAACTGCCCCATAAAGTTCCTAGGCTGTACTCTTTAGAGGGGCAGGTCGCCACATCTTCGTCTTGTGGAGCTGCTGAGTGGGTTTGAACCACCAGCCTTTTAGTTAGCAGCTGAGTGCTTAACTGCTTATCTGGTCTCTAAGATTGCCTCTGAAGTAAGTCTTACACACACACACACCCCTGCAGTGGTGACAGTGGCCCCTGCAGACACACGTGGCTGACCTCCACCTGGGAGTGCTAGAGGATGGATCCCAAATCAGGCTTTTGACTGGAGAAAACTTGCCTAACGTCAAAGAGAAGTCACCCTAAGAAACGTGTTTACTAGTCATTCTGCTCTGTCTGGTTTGTCCGGGTTCAGGGAGCTGCTCTCCCATTGAGGGTTACCCTGTGAGCCTGACTCACTGAGTCTCCTCCCTGGGAACTGTGAGGGGCCTGGCCTGGGCTCTTGGTCTCCTGGGCTGCTTCCCCGAGTAGGTGAACAAGCCCTGGGTCTGGAGTCCATAACTGACTTCTCCACTTCTTAGCTTGGTTCTCGTGTCCTTTCCCTCCTCCAAGCCTCACGTGTGCCTTGCCTGCCTCACAGAACAGTTGTGGGGATCAGAAGTGTGTACATGTGTGTCTGTTTGTGTCTCTGTGAAGATACTTTGTCTAGAAACGTTAGTGTACTTATCCCCAGGTGTCCTTCTGGTTAGCAGCAGAATAAATCCTCCTCGCCCCTGCAAACTAGTGAAAATGAATGTAGGCACACATGTCATGACCACACACCCTATGACCCAGCAGTGATGTGTGTGGAGTTGGGGTACCTGTGCATCCAGTCACATGTTCAGAAATGTCACTGACAGCATTGTACCTGCCCCAAGCTGGTGACTATTGCTACTGACACTGGTCAGTATTAAGAACCAGGAGCCTTGGTGGCGCCTCTGGTTAAAACAGTTCGCTGCTAGCCAGAAGGTCTGTGGTTCAAACCCATCAGCAGCTCTGCAGGAGAAAGCTGTGCGTCCATAAAGATTACAGCCTAGGAAACCCAGTGGAGCGCTCCACTCTGTCCTGTAGGGCCGCCGAGTTGGAATCAACTCAAGGCAATGGGAGTTCGTTTGTGTTTTCAACCTCTCTGCCCATTTGACTGATGAGACACCAAAGCTTCGAGAAGCTGACCTGCTTGCTGTCAGTCACAAGGCCCTCAGTGGCAGAACTGGGGTTCTAAGTGGATCTGCCTGCCCCGGGGCCCTTGCTCCGTCCCTCGGTCCCTCCTGCCCTCACTGCCCAGCCAGGCACCAGGCTCACAGCCTCTGAAACCAAGATTTCCCAGCAGTCCAACTGTAGCACTGTCTGTACACTCTTTTGCCTCTCAAACTTGAAATGTTACAAGGAACCTTTTTCAAGAAGCTAGAATTAAACACATAGTCTCAAATGAAGATTTTGACCCAGGGCCTGGGGCAGGGTGGGCTTCAGATGCACTGATGCCTTGGGCCGCCTTAGGGAGGGCTCACCCAGCCACTGGGTGCTGGCCAAGCGTTTGTCACCAGGGCCTTAGTTAACCCTTGGGTAGTCCTTAGACTCTGCCCTCGTCGGCCAGGCTGTCCTCCAGCACAGATGCCCCACAGGCCCTGTGACCCAGGGTCACCTGCCTGGCCTCTCTGAACCTCAGCTGTCTCATCCCAGGCCCCGTTTGGGGTCTGCTCCTTTGCCTCTCCTGGGGCTTTCCCAGCATTGTTTCTGTCGTCTTTGGGTTCAGAGCCCCGAAGGCCTTGTGCTCCCTTTTGTTTCTGAACCGTTTGCTGTGGCTGGGCACTTCAGGATGCTTCCGGTTTTGTGTAGATCGTTTTCCGCGTCCCTTCTCATTTCTTCAGGCAGGTCCCCCGAGGGGGACTCGGGGAAAGCTGGAAGCAGCTGTGGCCTCTCGCGGGTTCTGTCGCCATCGTAGCTGCTGTAGCCCTGGCTTCTTGCCTTGCCCCTGAAGCCCTCTGCTGTTCTCGTCCCAGCCTCTTGTTCCCCTTTTCATCTCTGAGAGGCTTAAGGAGGGCTTAGAGAAGGCGCCAGCTGGTGAGCTCTGGCAGGGCCCCTGCTCATCCTGGAGGTGGGAGGAGTGAGGAGGTGTGAGCAGGGGCCTGTCCTGAGGCCTCCTGCCCCAGCAGATACCATCTGTTGGTCCAGACACACGTGGCAGTGTGGTGACCCACTGCCAGGTGAGTGACCCGTGGCTTCACCTTACCACACTTCAGCCCACCACACTTTGCAGCAGGAGGCGGCTGTGTGCCTCCTCCAACCTCAGAAGGTCCCACCTGCTGGCTCTCGCTCCCGGCTGAGCCCAACATCCATCCTTGGGAGCATTGCTTGTCCTCGAGGCGCGACAGGGACTCAGTTTCCCCTGGGAATGGCAAAGGGCTCCCTTCTGGGACTTTGGGCAACTTACTCAACCTCTCACAGCCTCAGCTTTTCCACTGAGATGTTCGTGACAGTAACGCTTGCTCAGTAGGGTTCACCATGTGTTCAGTGCGTTTCCGCTGTTCCGGGCTCTGGGATCCGGAGGTCAGCAGCCTCGTGGAGAGCGTCACCTCGTGAAGCAGTCCACAGGATGAGCCTAGGTGTGCGGAGGGCGAGAAGGCCTGAGTGTGGGTGGGGTGGGATGTTTCCACTGGGTCCTGAGGAGGAAGGAGCAGCCGTAGAAAGACAGGGAAACCCCAGGAGAGGAAACGACCAGTGCAGAGGCCTCACACAAGCAAGGGCTCGGTGCTCTGGAGGCCCTGGAAGGAGGCCAGCGTGGCCGGTGTACTCAGGGAGCCAGAGGGTGGTCTGAGGTGATGGGGACAGACCCTGGAGCCTGGCGGCCTTTCAGGAAGGGGGCTGTGTGCTCCGGGTGAGTGAGTGAGAGGCACTGAAAAACTGGTGAGGCACAGTAGCTGGCCCCAGACCCCCGGGCTTGCACCAGAGGGGCCCCTCGGTGCGCTCTCCCTCCAGCTGCTGCTCCAGCCCCTGCCTCCTTCAGAGGCACCTGTCCCAGCTGGGCGGCCTCGGGGCCATCCTGTCAGCCCGTAGCCCCTGAAGATCTCTCAGCCTCTGCCCTCAGGAAACTTAGGCTTTCAGCTAATGTGTGGAGCGCCTCTGGGCAGGCATCGTGGACATGGCAGGAATAAGAGCCGAGGCAGTGCTCCTTGGGTAGAGGAGACAGTCAGTGAGGACTCTCAGGGAAGCCCTCACTGGCCAGGTGGGGCAGGAAGTGAGCGATGGAGGGGCAGCGGAGAGGAAGGTGGTGCGGGGCTGGCGGAGCCGGGAGGAAGTGGAGGTTGTGGAGGTTTTGTTTCAAATGCAGGGTCTCCCTGTAGCAGACCTCAGATTGACCCAGGTGTTGCCAAAAAGGGTTGAGGGGCCAAGCTGGGCTGGCCCTGCCCCTGGTGGAGGATGGGTGAGTCCCATCTTGCTGGGGCATCGGGTGGGGCTGTGATCCTATTCCTGATTGGACTTGTTGGGCATGTTATGCAAATGAGCTGAGAAGCCAGGTGGCTTTCATGCCCAGGGAAGCTAAGAGTGGAGGTCCCTTGGTGGCAGAAGCTGAGTCAGGCTCACGGGAAGTCACCTTCGGGCATTAGAGTAGCAGTGCTGGGCAGTGACCCCAACGCAAGGTAGCATCTGCTCCCTGGGGCCTCTGAGAGGTCACCAAGTTGAGGGGGCAGTGCTCAGAGACCAGATGTGAGAGAAAGGGGGGCCGGGCCACACGACCTGAGCACACAGGGTCTGTCCCTGGCCTTTTCTGTTTGTCCCCCAGAATCCTCCTGACAGCCTTCTACAGGGTAAAATGGTAGAACTTCTTAATAAATGATACTGCGTTTATAAAACGGTGCTGTGCCCAGCTGTTACAGGAGGCATGGATGCAGAGTGCTGGCATAGAAAGATGTTCACGATACATTGTGTTTGGTGTGTGTGTGTGTGAGAGAGAGAGAGAGAGAGATTTGGCTGAAAGCTTGCAGAGCAAATTGGTTTCCATTCACCGGTTCATGGGTGCTTTGTGGCGCTCACTGCAACGCCCCGATGGCTTCCCACTTCCTCCCCTTATCCTCCTTTCCTGCTCCTTCCTGCTTTTGAGCTTTACCCCTGCCCACACACTGCCCTTTGATCTCCAGTGGTGGTGGTGGTGAGGAACGTGTGCCTCCTTGGAGTTACTGTTCACCTTGTAGGTCTGTCATCGGGCTGCAGGTTGACCCACGGGGCGAGTTCAGTTCCAGGCTTGAAGGGTGTCTAAGGACTGTGTACATTGTGGGTGGGTTTGTTTTGAAGTTTTGTTGAGGTGTAATTGGCATGATAAACTAGCCATATTAAAGGGTGTGATTGGCTGTGCTATAACATATGTACACACCCATGAAACTAGCCATATTAAAGGGTGCGATTGGCTGTGCTATAACATACGTACACACCCGTGAAGCCATCCTCACCATTATTTTTAAACTCTTCTCATATGAAAACATTGTAGATCTTGTTTTTCTCCCTTTGGGGAAAAACAAAACAAAACGGAAAGCGTATCAGCCGTTGATTCAATGAGCTGAACCAAGAGGGAAAAGGGATTTTTTTGCCCTTCTGGACGGCCACAGCCTTGTGACAGCAGCAGCCGGCAGACCTCTCTGGAATCCTGAAAGGGAAGGCTGAGGACCCCAGTGGACTTCGGCCTGGGCCCTTCCAGGGTCAGTGGGCAGGGAGGAGAAGGGGGAGGCAGGAGGCGGCCGGGATGGGCCCTGCAGACTCACTCTGTCTTCCCCAGGTGGTCTCTGCAACCTGTGCACCGACAGGGCCAACCAGGAGCACATCCTGCAGGCGGGGGGCCCCGCGCTCCTCATCAGCTGCCTGTCCAGTCCCAGAGAGGAGACAGTGCTGTCCGCGGTCACCACGCTCCTGTACCTGAGCCCGTCCAGCGCCCACCCCGAGCTGACCGCCCCCCCCGTGGTACAGTGCATGCTGCGCTTCTCCCTGTCGGCCAACACGCGGCTCCGCAACCTGGCCCAGATCTTCCTGGAAGACGTCTGCTCCCCTAGCCAGGTGGCCGAAGCCCGCCACTGGGGGACACACTCCGCCCTGGGCATTCCACTGCCCAAGGACTGAGGCCCTCGACAGCCCCCTCCTGGGAGGCCTCTGCTGGAGCTGAGAGCAGAGCCCTGGTGGGGGCTCAGGGAGGGGGCAGCACAGCCGCCCCAGGCACGTGCTCCCGGAGCTGCCTTCTGGGCACTTGAAAGGCGAGCTTTGTTCAGCAGGACGGGGGTTTCCAGTGACGACAAGGCATTAAAGACACATGGGGAAGCGAATCAAGGGAGGTGCTGTCTCAGGGGCTGGCATTCGTCTGGAACTGAAGGCCAAGGGCCTGCCTCCCAGGCTCAGCCCACTGCAAGCTCCCTCCTCGCAGAGCTGCGTGGAAGAACTGGTAGTCCCTGGACCTGGAGGCTTCACAGAGGGGACGCAGCAGCTGGACCAGAAGGTCAAGAGTTGTCTGCTCACAAACGAATGGGTCATCACCCCGGAGAGCGTCTGGAGTAACTGAGGGATAGCAATGAGAAGTCTCGGGGCTAAGAGTGTCTTGGGGCCCTAGAAAGGTGTCAGCCGAGTGACAGTGTGGCCAGAGCACAAAGGTGACAACGTATCAGAGTAAAGCCATGAACCATGAAGCTGGGTCTTCGCCCCTCACCACCTCCAGGGTCCCCTCTGCCACCAGGGTGAGTGCAAGTCCCTGCCCGTCAACAAGGAGGGTGGGACCCAGAAGCAATGGGGGATCCTGACGACTGCCCTCTTCAGGTTGGTCTTGGAGATGGCCAAGACCCATGTATCTTGGAAAAGGGATGAGGGGTGGTATCTGTTGTGGACTGTGTCCCCCAAAATGTGTTGTAAAACCAGACTCCTGCCATCGAGTCAATTCCAACTCACAGCAAGCCCCTTTAGGTTTCCGAGGCAGAAAACCTTTATGACAGTAGGTTTTTACCTTTGTTGTTAAAGAGGCAGCATTAGTGCAGGGTGTGTCTTAAATCGAGCTCTTCTGAGATAGGAAAGAGCAGGGCAGAGATAGGGGAGAGAGGTGCCATGCCACTTGTGATCTCCAAGGACCAGTAGCTGGATGGAGACAGACCTCCCCCAGAGCCAGCCAAGAGGACAGGCCTTCCCCGAGAAGGCTCCTTCTGGCCTCCTAAACTGAGAGAACAAACTTGTCTGTTAAAGCCACTCATGGTATTTGTTAGAGCAGCACTAAGAACTAAGATGGCATCCTAGTGGTTGGAGAGGCCAGCAGATGTGGGCCCAGTGGACTCGGGAGAGCAAGGGGGGAAGAGAAGGCCTCACGAGCCCTGGTCCAGCGCACCTCCCCCCATACTTTCACTTTCCCAAATAACCAAAAAAAAGAAAAACCCACAGCTGTTGAGTCGATTTTGACTCATAGCGACCCCCACTGGGTATCTGAGGCAGTAAATCTTTACAGAGGTAGATTGCCAAGTGGCTGATGGGTTGGAACCACCAACCCTCTGATTAGCAGTCAGATGCCTAGCCACTATGCTACCAGAGCTCATCATTCCCAAATAAAGGGTCCTAAGAAACCAGAGCTGAAGTTTTTTTATTAAAAGTTCCTGACCGTCTTCCTAGGGTCCTTCCGTGTCAGCCATGCTCTCGTGCCCCATCTTGGGAGGTGCCGGGTGGCTGGTCGGTGAGAGCAGTGGTCTCTGTGTCACCCTTTCCCACCATGCCCTATGGTGTCAACACCACGGGGACTCCCCCCTGGCCAGCCTTCCCGTCCCCGGGCCACGGTCCACGGGCGCAGTCCCTCAGCACGTTCCTGGAGCCCCGCTTGCTGTCTATGATCGCCCGCCAGTTGTCACTCCAGGAGAGCAGCCTTCTCCTCGTGGGGGGCAGGGCCAGGTGCTGGTTGTGGTAGCAGGTGAACAAGATGTGCTCCCAGCTTGGGGTCTCCTCTTGGCCTGGGGCAGGACACAGGAGAAAGGCAGCAAGCCTGTCATCTGGTCCTTTTTATTCCCTCTCTCCCTCCCTCCCCCCTGTGGTCTTTATGTTTTCCTGTCAACTTGGCTGGGCCTGGTTGAGTGGCTGGGCAGCTGCCTCTGGGATATGGTCTGCTTTCTGTATATAAGGAGAAGCCTTGGGGATAGTCTGTAATTTAAGGCACGCTCGGACCCTGCGTGGAGCCACGTGGTTGTTCAGCAGCCTCTCCTGCTCTGCCAACTTTGGGACTTATAATGGATTTGAATTAATGGCCTGCCGTGTGGTTTGGTAACCTTGGGACTGTGCCATTTTATTTGTTGACCTTGGGTTTGTCAGCCTCAGCAGCCAGTAGCTGCCTGAGTGAAGAGATGCCTCCAGCTCCAGTGGGCCGGGAGCTGGAGGCAGAGCTGAAGCCCAAGGTTGAGGGGCTTTCACCCGGCCCCTAGAGCCTGGCACTTTGAACTTGGACTCCTAGCCTCCTGAAGTGTAATAGAATAAACTCCTGTTTGTTCAAGCATCCCAGTTGTGGTAGATTCTTGTCAGAGTGGCACTAAAGGACCAGAAGAGGCCCCCAATCCAGAAGCCTGGATGGAAGTTGTATTAAGGGAAGAACGCAAATCCACAAGGTTTAATTAAGACACTTTCATTAAGCCTTGGACAAGGCAAAGACAGTTATGAGGGCATCCACCAGCATGAAAAAGCTGAAGGGAGTCCAGAGAGTCATGGCCATGGGGCTAATTAGATATGATTTTAAATCATCACAAAATCATGATTGGTGGTAGATTTGTCACTGTTACAAGGGGGATTACGAAGCAATGTAAGGACCATGCCTGGGATATGAAGATAGAAAGGATTACAGGATCAGTTCTGGGCCTTGACTACCAGGCTAGGTGGTATAGTCCGATAGGCTGTGACTCATGACCATGTAGCCTGAAAAAAAAAAAACCCTCAAAACTCACTGCCATTGAGTCAGTTCCAACTCACAGCAACCCCCTATGAGTTTCCGAGACAGTAAACCTTTACGAAGTAGACTGCCCAGTCTTCCTTACACAGAGTGCCTGGTGGGTTTGAACCGCCAACCTTCTGGTTAGCGGTCAGATGCCTTAAGCACTACGCCACCAGGGCTCTTTCTCAGCCAGAAGGTGGCTATTAAACAATCAAGACTCCAACCTTAAATGAGGAAAGGACACTGTTAGGCAAGTTCCCCAGTTGTTTGTGGGGCTGTAATTTACTCTGAACCACACTCTCGCTGAAGGCAAACTGCCCCTCCCTGGGTTTGTCCTGGACCTTGTCTGTGCACAGCCACAGTGGTGGTTTATGGTCACAAAGAACCCAAGTGGCATCAGAACGGAGTGAGGGCTCCCACTGTGGCCCACAGCCCTCCACAACCCCAAGTACTTTAGAATTTAAGCTCTCAACACACCTCGAATAGTGTCCTTGTCATCAATGAGCAGGTCGCCCAGGACCACCGTCTTGTCCCTTGTCAGGATGATGCGCTCCACAAACTGGGGCCCCAGGTGCTTCTCCACCCAGCGGTACTGCAGGAAGAACAGACCGTCAGTGGGACCTGGTGGGCCCTGGGCTCGGGGCCAGGGAGCGAGAAGAAAGGGATCACCGGCAGGGGGAGCCACACCTTCTCGCCCACACAGTGCTCATACTTCATCAGGGGGCTGGTGCAGATGAAGACCTCGGTGCTGCAGGAAAGGGGCGCCGTTAGACGGAAGGGGTCCCGACACCCGGTGTCTTACACACTCCCCCCGCCTCCCACCCTCTCTTACTCCGTCATATCGTTCATCGCCTGCATGGCTTCCAGGGCCCCAGGAATGGGCTCCAATTCCAGAAAAAAGCCTGGAGCTTCATACACGCTGGCCACTTTATCCTGGAAGACACAACTCGGGTCCGTCGACAGCAGATCTAACCCAAGACGTTCGCAAGAAAGGGGGGAGATGGGTGAGCTGTGAAGTGAGGATTCTGTTCTTTTCAGACAGAAACGGTGTCTCCACGAACCGCATACAGTCGGTCTGTCCAAGCGCAGGGGCGAAGGCAGGGGCTCCCGGCCTCCGAAGCCGCGGGGCATCTCTCCGGAGGCTCGGGGTGGGGGTGGGGGCGAGGTCCGGGTCCCCCTCCCGGGGGCAACAAGAGATCGTGGGTCCCGGCTCCCGCCCGCGCCGCGCCCCACTCATTCCTACCGCCAGGTCGGGCCGCAGGCCGCGGTACTGCTCGCGGGCCAGGAAGCCGCGGCGTTCTTCCAGCGGCACGTGCGGGTCCGCGGGGAAGCGGCGGCGGAAGCCCCGCAGGAGGCCGCCCTCGAAGTCGGCCAGCACGCCGTCCATGTCCACCAGCACCCGCACCGCCCGAGCGCGCTGCGCCGCCATGGCCGCCCGAGGGGCTGCAGCGGAGCCCGGCCGCGGACAGAGGGCCCGGGGCGCGGGCTCCGGAAGCGCGGGCGCGTGGTGCCTGGACGAGCGCAAGGCGCGGAGAGGCCGCTTCCGGAGTCGCGGCGCAGGGGCCGGCCGGTCATTTGCATGGGGGCCGGGCTCATTTGCATAGGCGCGCGGGCATCCCGCCGCCGGGTCTGGTCCAGAGGGGACGCGCGGGCTTTAGATCCTCAGCTGCTCCTTCTGGTCACATCGGCCACCATCTACCTCAGCGCAGACGCGCTGCTCCCCGAAATGGTAGGCGGACCTGTCAACGCCCGACAAAGGGATGATTCAAAGCACCGGGAAGCTTTAAAAAACCAAAAACAAACCCAACTAACCCAACTCTTTACCGTCGAGGAGTTTCGGATTCATGCTGACCCCATGTGTTACAAAGTAGAACTGCTCTTTGGGGTTTTCTTGGCTGTGATCTTAACGGAAGGTGTCCTGGTAGTGCAGTGTTCGGTTGCTAACCAAAAGGTGGAACCCACTAGCTGCTGCTCCAAGGGAGAAAGATGAACCAGTCTTCCCCCTTAAAGATTGACAGCCTTGGAAACCCTCTGGGGCAGTTCCACTCTGTCCTCTAGGGGCGCTGTGGGTCAGAATGGACTCCATGGCAGTGGGTGTGGTTTGGGCTTTGCTTCTATGAAGATTGACAGCCTTGGAAACACTCGGGCGCAGTTCCACTCTGTCCTCTAGGGGCGCTGTGGGTCAGAATGGACTCCATGGCAGTGGGTGTGGTTTGGGCTTTGCTTCTATGAAGATTGACAGCCTTGGAAACACTCGGGCAATTCCACTCTGTCCTGTAGGGGCGCTATGAGTCGGAACGGACTCAACGGCAGTGGGCTTGCCCCTTAGCAGAAGCAGATTCCCAGGCCTTTTGCAACACCTGGGTGGGTTCCAACCAACCTCGAGATTAGTAGCAGAGCACAAACTCTTTTCTCCACCTCGGGACCTTAACAAGCCAAGGCTTCTTAAATCCGTGGGGCCTCACGTCCGTCCTAGACCCCATGGCCTCAGAGTTGGGGTGGGGGGCTGGTTCTCCCTTCCCTGCTTGTCAGGGCAAGTTGCCAGGGCTGGCTGACGCTGCTTGAAACCAGCACCAGAACCAAACCGCGAGTTGTGGGGGTCCTTCTAAGTCTGAAGTGAAGGAATGTTCAAGACATGGGCCAATTAAATCAGGTTCCTAAGTGACCAACCCAGAGTTGGCCCGCAACGTGGGGGCATCGGTTTTAAACACCCGCTTCTACCTGGAAAACAGGATTTCCCTCAAGCTCAGGTGAGGAGGACCGCCCTCCCTTCTGGGTGACTGAAACCTCTCAGGGAGAATCAGCTGTTATATCCCCCAGGAAAAGGGGGATTTCGTTGACTCCACTCTAGATTTCACGACATTTCCTGATACACTTGACTACATTTCCCTACAAATTATAAACTCAGATCTTGCTGTCCTTCCCCCACCTGACCTCCCCAGTCCTTCCCAAGGATGGAACAGAAATGTCACAGGGTAGCCTGGTATCTCATTGTCAAACCAAAAACTCAAACTCACTGCCACACAGTCAATTCCAACTCATAGCAAACCTCTCACTGGGTCTTCGAGGTTGTAAATCTTTATGGAAGTAGGTTGCCTCATCTTCCTTCCACAGAGTAGCTGGTGGGCTTGAACCATCAACCTTCTGGTTAGCAATCAAATGCCTTATCCACTCTGCCACCTGTTGTTGTTGTTGTTAGGTACCGTTGAGTCGGCCCGACACATAGCGACCCTTCCTTGGGTTTGAGGCAGTATCACTACGAAAGTAGATTGCCCAACCTTCCTTCCAAGGAGTGGCTGGTGCGTTTGAACTGCCAGGCTTCTGGTTAGCAGTCAAGTGCCTTAGGCACTATGCTA